AACATTGTTTAGGGTGGGGGAGGGAGGGATAGTGGCTTTATGCTGAACAGTATTTGGAAATGCGGAGATATGTATATATTATACCACTGTCCAAAAACCTTTTGTCACTGATTGTAGTTCTGCAAGTGTTATGTTAGTTGTGTAATTGTACACTCTGTAATATGTTAAGATGAAAATGTTCTAGAGTGTGTATTATATAATTTCCATACCCAGTGCAAGCAGAAAGATGTTGTCTGCCGCGGCTGGGTCTCGAACCCGCGACCTTCGAATTACTAGATCGACGCTTTACCTACTGAGCTACACGGTCAGACGGATTTAAGACTGGAAATTATGAAATATATACTGAATGTCGTAAACATACTCGTTTATATTAATTCAGCATCGAACAATACTAGTTCTGCAAGTGTTATGTTAGTTGTGTAATTACCGCGGCAGACAACATCTTTCTGCTTGCGCTGGGTATGGAAATTATATAATACACACTCTAGAACATTTTCATCTTAACATATTACAGAGTGTACAATTACACAACTAACATAACACTTGCAGAACTAGTATTGTTCGATGTTGAATTAATATAAACGAGTATGTTTACGACATTCAGTATATATTTCATAATTTCCAGTCTTAAATCCGTCTGACCGTGTAGCTCAGTAGGTAGAGCGTCGATCTAGTAATTCGAAGGTCGCGGGTTCGAGACCCAGCCGGGGCAGACAACATCTTTCTGCTTGCGCTAGGTATGGAAATTATATAATACACACTCTAGAACATTTTCATCTTAACATATTACAGAGTGTACAATTACACAACTAACATATATATATATATATATATATATACAGGGTGTATCAAAAAAAAGGAGACCTTTAGAAATCAAGCATATTGTTAAAATTTGAATGCCTTTTGAATCCTGGAGCACTTTGCTAAGCCCACGAGTGCGTAACATGCGATCTACGTATAGTATGCATGGCAGATTGTTCCCAGCAGCAGACAATCTTTTGTTTAAACGTTATTTCAATTTCTAAAGGTCTCCTTTTTTCTAATATATGCACCCCATCAATATTTTACGCACTACGGTTCAGCATATGTGCAATTGAAAAGGCATTCAAATTTTAACAATATGCTTGATTTCCAAAGGTCTCCTTTTTTTTGATACACCCTGTATATATATATATATATATATATATATATATATATATATATATATATATATATATATATATATATATATATACTAAATTAATTAAAATAAAACAATAAAACGATGGCTATCCCCTTGATTGGTAAGCAACATACGTGATCATGATGGCTATCCCCTTGATTAGTAAGCAACATACCAATCCAGAAGTTTTCCCCCTCCCTCAAATTGTCATCACGCTGATCAATGAGCAGAAATTTCAAAGTCGAGTGATTAGCATTATGACAATCTAAAAAGTGATTAACAATACTACAGGTTCTACGTTGGCATTTAATATGCGATTTGTAATTTGCAACCCTCTTCTTAAAATTAGTGGTCGAACCCACTCCTTGCAAATGACAAGCCACACAAATAGCCAAGTATACCACATTAGGTGAAGCACATGAAAGCGCCGATTTACTGATCTTATAAATATTTTTGGTCTTAATTGAACTAAATGAAGTACAAACCACCAAAAAATTCCGGCAACAATCACATCGTTTGGCTGAACATTTGAAACAACCTATACTTTCATGTTTGTGATGTTACTTTGAGTGTATATCCACACCGGGCGAGCTTGAAAAATATGCCCGGCCACGGTGGGAATCGAACCTACGACCTTTGGAATACTAGCCCCAATGCTCTGAGCTACGCGGTCAGGACGGTTCGAGTTAAGTGATATTTCGGAACAGAATTTAGTTCCTTCGATACCAATGTAATCTAGTAATATGATTTTTTTCTGTGTTGGTGTTGTGTACTCAGGTGAATATATTATGTTTGTTTATACATTAGCGGGTGGCCGCTTAATGGAGGGCCGCTTAATAGAGGTTCGACTGTATAACTTTACTTGTACGGCGGAAACGCCGGAAGTTTTATCTGTAGGACACCGCATTTTAGTACTGTGTCTGGTTCTATAAAATCCTGACCTGGGGTCATTATACTGTTCTAGGCCTGGATCAAAACTAATTCACCTATTAACAAAAACTTCAAAACTGAGCCACCTTGAGCCACCTACCTGCAATACAAAACCTAGCGAATTTGAGAGCGGCAGCACTCGCCTTGACAAGCAAAATCGAGACATTAAAATAATAAAGTAGGGTGCATTGCCATCGGGGCACAATATCTCAAAAATATAATTTGTGTCAAATACTGTTGCTAAACATGATAAGTTTGATTTTAAGTATAGTTCACCAGAATCTATTCTATATAAGCGGAATTCGCATGTTTTCCGTGTGAAGGACAAAAGCACAGCATGTGTTGCCTGAACAGAAGAACAATTGTTTCTTCGTCCTTCGCAGGCAAAATATATAAATTACTATTATTATTATTATTAAAATTCTAAGAAAGACCCTGGGATCGAGGTTGAAACAAAACTCACTTGAGAGGTCATTTGAACCGAGGTCTGAGCTGGCGTCTTCGTCTTGTCAAATATGGTGACAAAATTTAGTTTTCATTTGTATAGCCCCAGCGAGGTAACGCTCCATAGAGCGTCTTGTTACGATTGGTTTCGGACCACAATTAAGTTGTGGCACTCATCAGATAAATTAGCCTTTTTTGGCTATATATATATATATATATATATATATATGTATATATATATATATATATATATGTTTATATATAAGTTCTATCAGGTTAGTCTATTTTTTAATAATTGTTGCATTGAGGCAATGATTATATTTAAGATAAATTCTAACCCTCATAAAGGTACTTGTGATGAACAGGTTATCATAATCGGGGTGAGGTGATATCAGTTTTATCGCTTGAGGGACAATACCATAAATGTCACAAGTGAGCGCAGCAAACGAGGGACATTTATGATATCGTCCCTCAAGCGATAAAACTGATATCACCTCACCCCTCATACATATACGAATGTGGTTTGTTTTACGACATGCTAAAGAGTGCTCGATATTATATACAGTAGATAGAGCAGAAATGGTCGTTTTTACCTCAAAAGGTTGCTACAACAGCCTGTTTCATCCAAGAGGAATCATCAGGTGGCCGACAAATTTCGAAAAATGGACTGCTTAAATGTTTACGGTCGGAAACATGATCGAGTGGGCGTCAAACAGTACATGCATCCCTTCAATTGCTATCATTGTTTACTAGTAATCGTTGAATGGAATCATGTCTATGGAATCATTGAATCTTGAGATTGATTTTTTCAACTAAACGACATAGTTTATATTACACAAAACCAGGTTTTCGCCATTCTGAGAGCAGTGATTATGATGAATCGGTTAGCGAAATGTCTCAAACAAGTGAGATACATATTCGGAGCGTACCTCTGAAAATGCGCGTACGTTTTAACGAAATAAATGTGTTTTAAAACTAAATTCGTGTGCCAATTCTTGTTTTAAAACTAAATTCTTATGCCCGCAATGCTACGCTGCCGCCCTATTTTAAGGCCTACGCTTGCCTAACAAATAGTCTCTCTCTATCCATAATAAACATATCGTATCAATAGTCATGACTATAATCTTAATAGTCATGACTATGATCCTAATAGTCATGACTATGATCTTAATAAACATGACTATAGTCTTAATAGTCATGACTAGAATCTTAATAGTTAAAACTGTAGTCGTAATAGTCATGACTATAATCTTAATAGTCGTGACTATAGTCTTAACAGTCATGACTATAGTCTTTGATAGTCATGACTATAGTAAACTTGTAATTCAATGTTATCATTTACAAATATATTGTTACAAACGTTAAACCGTGTTTGAATTATTGTTTATCCATCCAACCAAGCAGAGCGATGGCCTGGCCATATTTTGCTCAAAAAATGTACACATTTTCGCGTCCAGCAGTTCAAGCTTTCTTATCTTTATTTTCTATTGTTTAAAGCTATGACCGTCGTAAAGTGTTTTCCAAATCAGCGCTTTGACTGACCCATGCATTGTATTTATTTACTTTAATCAAAATATATAGCGGACGAAAGCTTTTCAGATACTAATCATGCTGTACTTATCAATATTTTGTAGGACAATGCAGTTAACCGAAGGCCAATTTGACAATAATTGTCCATTCTCTGAAGCTCCACTGGCGCTATCGGTTCTAACAACAGGCATTTCCATTATCCTGTCTTTCGTAAGTATTCTTGGGAATATCCTTATAATTCTAGCTGTTGCGTTAGATCCGAACAAGAATCTTCGAACGCCGTTTAATTGGTTAATTGTAAATTTGGCAGCGGCTGATCTAATTGCTGGAGTCATCACAGACCCTCTCTCGGCGAGTATTCATTTCAAACTTTGCCTTGGCAAGAAAATTACTGGTGCGGAAGTGAATGTGCTTAATATGAGTTACTTCATTTCATGTACGGCTTCATCTCTAAGCATTGCAAGTTTGACTGTTGAGCGATACCTGGCAGTGAGAAAGCCTACCACATACCGTAACAAAATAACTAATAAACGAATTGTATTCACCGTCGCTGTAATTTGGTTGATCTCTTTGACTTTACCAAATACATATTTTGAAGTTGGATACATTCTATACTCATTCGTCTTCGCTAACGCATCGGTCGTTTTGGCAATTCCAGTAACGTGTTTGACATAGACGTTAATGTGGCAAAGGATCAAACGACAATCTCAGACAATAACCAATCATAACGGAGGCATAGCTTTACCACAATGTGAAAGGTCTCAAAGCTCGTCAACGGCACCAAACAACCCAACTACAGGCAACTCAATGATCACAACCACAAATAAAATGGAAGAAAAAATCACCAAAATGTTCTTTGTGGTCCTTGTTGCCATGTTCTGTTGCTATGGTTTTGCAACGCTGTTCAGTTATCTCCTTATCTTCTGCGAATCGTGCGGTTGTGTCGCTCGACATTGGTTTTATGATTTGGCCTTCATTTCAATTGCAATTAATTCAAGTTTAAACTTTTTCTGTTATGCAATGCAGTCTTCCAGATTCCGAAGTGCCTTTATCAAAATCTTGAAGATAAAGAAGAAAAATGAGCAACACCATGAAACATTTTCCTTAAACGTAAATACAAACTAAAATGCTTTTTCGAATGACTGAGCAAAGATAAGATGTGCAAAGGCAAGGAATTGTTGAGAAACGAGACGTGGGTAATACAACACTATAGTCAAGAAAATATTAAGTTGTCTATTGAAAACTTACACTACAGTATACCATATATTTAGGAAGAAAATGTTCGTTAATTTGGCTTGAGCCCTATGCTGAAGTGGGATGTGTTTTCATATATGATTGTTTACAAATGGTGTGTTTAAATTTGCTTATTTTCGACCTTGGCTTATGGCTTAATCCAAATAAGCTCAAACAAAGACAAAGGGTATTCACAGCAGTTTTCCCGAATGATATTTAAAGGCACAGTTCAGCCTTTTGAATGATTTTTTTAAGGCGCATTATAAAACCCTTTTAATTGAAAAACTAACTAGGAAAATCAATTAAGCATAATTCAAGATTAATAGAAATCATTGATGTTTTTAACATTAAAAATGATATGTTTAAAAAGATGTTAAAAACATTAAGATCACTGATCCTGAATTATGCTTAATTGATTTTCCTAGTTAGTTTTTCCAGTTAAAAGGGTTGTAATGCGCCTTAAGGGACCGTTCATTATTTATACCCTAGGGTGGAATGGGAGAAATTGAGGGGGGGGGGGGTGTCATGTAAATTCATCTTGTCCTATGGTGGGGGTTGCTACATATGGCACTTGCTTTTTTTGGAGTCTTGGGGGGGTGCAAAAAGAATTAACTGAAATATTGTAGCATCTGTCTACATATGAAACATTTTAGATTTAGATATTTAATAAATTTCTCCCTGAAAGGGTTTTTCAGAAATTATTTACAATTATTTATGACCATGTACCAGGTTTAGTAATAATAATAATAATATTTAATTTTTATGTTGCGCATATTAACATGTTATAGTATATGATCAAATGCGCATCACAAAATATAATTACACTATAAAATTATTCTGTGCTGAATGGTTACAAACTAAAAATATAAACAAGATTATATAGATTATATAGATTATATGTTACACAAAGTATTTACATTAAAGGCTTCTTCAAAATAATAAGTCTTAACTAATTTCTTGAAAATACTAAACTAGTTATGCAGATTTCTTATATACATTCATTCTTATATTCGCAGATTTCTTATATTCATTCCAGATTTTTGGAGCTGAGATTACGAATGCTCTGTCGCCGAGTGTTTTCTTTGTTTTTGTACTATAGTCTTCAAGCAATGTGCCTTCGTTAGATCTTAGACTATAGCACGATGTCTTTCTTATACTTTTAAAAGATTGACAAGATAGAGAAAGTTAATAAAAAAATAAGATAATATGGTAAGATAATAAGTTATTAAATAAGAAAATTTTATTAGATAAGATTCATAGTAATAATTTTATTAGATAAGATAGTAAGATAATAAGTTAGTAAGATAATAAATTATTATTATTAGTTATTAAGATAGTTAAGATAGTAAGTTATTAAACGTTCTCCTTGGCAAGCAAATGCTTTTTAAATTAAGTGCTGTTTTGAAGATTTTAAGGGAAGCGCTATCTTTCAGGTTTTTATCCAAATTGTTCCAAATGTGGACAGCTCTATAGGCAAACGACCGTTGACCAGCCGGAGTTTTGAAGAGTGGTATTTGCAGAGAGTCCTGTTTACGAATCTGACGTTTATGTATTGATGACCGTTTTCTAAACTTATTGCACAGGTAATCGGGTGCAAGGTTATTTACGCATTTGTATGTCAGAACCGCATCTCTAAAGTAGTTTCACCATAGTTCTGGCTCTTGACTTATACTGTATTCTTTACAATATGAAAACATTTATTTTTTAAAATAATTCATTAATTTTTTAGCAATTCCCAGCAAGCCTTTCCGCTCGTACTCGACTTTTCCGCTTTGCTCGGGGACAACCTTAATTGAAATAGCTGTATATATGCGATATGTCGGTGGGCTATTGCATAGGTATCTTATATACACAAGATAGTGCATCTAATTATTCTACAATTCAAAAATTGAAGCCGTGATTGCAGGCTCAGGATATTCCCATGAAATGAGAAGACTCGTATGTTTTCTATTTTTTAAACAGGGAACTTAAACATTAAGTCAAACCTATTACAAATACATTTTTAAACTATTCAAATTATGAAAGTTACTGTTGTTTTTTAAGCGTTTATTAGCGAGTGGGAAAGTCCAACATGGCCGCCATCTATTCAGATGGGGGTAACCGCTGGAATATTCTTGGCTTCAATTTTACTAAAAGAGATGCGCTATCTAGTGTATATATAAGATATCTATGGGCTATTGTCGTTAGCAGTTCAACCAAATAATTCACAAAAGAATGTATGCATCAACAGCTGTGAGCAATGATAACGCAGACATACTGCACTACTGCCTCGTACCCAGGCGCTTTAAATAATTACAATACATGAAGTATTCAGGTAGGCAGGCGACGCGCGAAGGGGCTGTTGGGAAGGATGCGTGCTGGGGAGCGCCTGGCAGTTCTTGTATACTGTCATGGCGGGAAAACATGGAATTTAATACAAAACGTTACCATATCGTCATATACTCTGTGTGTAAAACCTTATTTTCTGACGAAAAGTCGAATTGAACGCCATTGGCAAATAATAATAAATTTGTAGATGTTTGATGACATGCAAAATGCGCGAAAAATTCTGAGTAAATTACATGGCAAGTTAACTGTGCAAATATTTCGAATATGTCATTCGTTAATATTACATGGAGAATAATAGAATGCTATCAGTCGCTTAGTATAAACAGTAACAGAGAAATGATTAGAAAGTCATAACGTCTTTAGGCTTTTGTTCACACCTCATTCAGCAACATAGCCCGTAATATTGATGACTTTTAAACATAACTTAATGAATAACTAAACAAAACAAAACAAAACCGCTTCAGCGTTTGGTTTATATATATCGTGTTTAATATGAGTAAATATATTGTATCACAATCTTTATTTGACTATAACGCTGTACGTTTCTTGAAATCAACGATGTGTAAACCGACGCATGCATGTGAGAAATATATGTTCAACCGAAGCAAATACTCGTCTATACAAAATGTACAAAGACTTAATTTGGACCAAATTGTTTTGTGATGTATTGTCTTTCCCTAATTCATGCTGTATCTCAAGCAAAATATCAAAAATCTTATTTGCTCGATACTTTAGTCCTTCAAGAACTAATTAAAAATTTGTCACTCCGCTCTCGTCACCAAAATAATAATTATTCCCACATATATTGAATAATTACATTTAAAATCATTGACCAAACAGGTTGCAAAACAGACCAGCCGAAGCCAGGGCCTTTTTCGCTGACCATCCAACCGCGGAAGCAAAAAGCCCTGGGTACGAGGTTGAATAAGAACCAAATTTAATTAAACTAGGTCTTACTTATCAACATTTAAGATTAACAATGATGTTTTCGCTTGTGTTTATGCCAATATAACTCACTTCATTGCATTGTTTCATTCATAGGCGTATCAGCGGGTGGATACAGCCCCCCCCCCCAAAAAAAGAATTTTTACGGTCGGGCAATTGAGCAAATATCCATGTGTCATTCGGGCAAAACATGCATATAACTCACATCAAAGTTGGTAAGAAGAACCGCGGTCTACAATGAATAATTAAATATAATAACGCCAACATTAATTGCTTTTTTAAAATATACTTTGCCATATATGAAGAACACCTGTATATGAATGATGATGGCTTATGCCATGGGAAAGATTATGAAGATTGCAGAAACATTGAGCATTGTTCTTAGTTTTTGTCTTACTGTTTCTAGACATTTCGGTTAAACGTATGCTAAAGAAGCCTTTACAATCATATTCATTTGTTGTATAAAAGCACATACAAAATCCATGGCCTTTTTTAACATATAAGCTGGGGAGGGGCAAATGCGCCCCATCTCCTCCAGTCGACTCCCCCTTGTGCCCCTCACGAAATCACATTTTGCCCTCCCCCCAGGAAAAGTCCTTTTTTCCTAAATTTATACAAACAAACCAGCGAAGAATAACAAATAGATAAACGGAAAGTAAGTTTTAGGCTTTATCCTTTGTCCTTGTTTAACAAAATCGATTTAAATTGTTACGTTTTTCTACCACTAAGTAATGATAAATTATTGTTAACAATTTATTTATTTTCTGGCGTTTTTCCTTCTTTTATTTCAAATACAAGTATAGTTAGCATAAATTTTAGAGCGAATTTGGATGCTCAGAATGCAGGAAATGGCATTTCCGGGCTTCAAATTTCAAACATTTTCTGTGACAGTATGCCTCAGACCCCCTAGGGATTCATGCGTGATATGTCGGCCACATGGCTATCCCCCACTAATATATTATCTCACAGAAAGGTCCCTTTTCAAAAAAATCCCCCCCTTCCCCACGGGAAAATCTTTATATTCAAAAAGGATAAAATCTCGAACAAAGTTGTATATGTGTACTGTGTAAGCAAAGCGGTCGGGCAAACTAATAACTAATACTGTGCCCCCCCCCCCAACGACACTACAAACAAGGAAACACGCATAAAAATTATTTACGATAAACACTTCACGACACGTTCGGGACACGTTTGCTACATGTTCGCAACAGTTACGACCATATGGAAATCAGATTTAAGGAGGTACAAGGGCTTTCGCTAGAAACGTCGAAATTCTCCTTATATTTTTAAGGTAGTTGCATCCCTATTAACGAAAGCTTGCTAATATATCACTTATAGGCACTACCTGCACTAGCACAATTATACCACTGAAGTGCAATGTGAAAGTGACTTGGTTTGCTATGCCATAATTCAAGTATGTTTTCCACCAGTGTTAACGGTGAGTTAACGGTAATGAATAAAAGGGATGGACGACGGAGAGGTTTCAAGATATCTCAAAATTTTAACTGAGAATTCGCTTTAGTTTGAGGTTAAAGTTAGGGTTAGGGTTTGGTTTAAGGTAAGGTTTAGGGAAAGTTTAGAATTCTCACACGTATAGACATATTCGTAGATTATTGAAAATGTTTCAAAATCCCCCCCCCCCTCCCCTTGCGCTGCAATGTTGGCTTGTGTTCCAAAAATCATTGTTTGAACCTACATTGTACTATGGGGAGGGGGGATTACTATTTATAGCGATCATGGAAGTTTGTAGTAACTAAAACCAAAATGGCTTTACAAAATAGTGAGACAAGGTACGTTTCAAAAAGGTCTACGGATATTATTTCCATGATTGTAGTAGCGTTCCATTCATTTCATTCATTCATTTCAATGCTGAAAATGAAAGATGTGTTTTGCGACATTTGCACTTCACTTGGTTGAATTAGAATGCTGGGTTTGGTGGATAATCCAAGTTAGCATACAGTATGTATCAACAAAATTTAAGACCTAACCAGGAACAGTAGCGAAAAATGCAACACTTATAGGTTCCTCTGGCAGGAATCGAACCTGTGGCCATGAAATTCCAGTGCAACACTCTAAAACCGGCCAGCATCGGCCAGCATCGGCCAGCATCGGCCAGCATCGGCCAGCATCGGCCAGCATTTTGGAAGGTACAGCCTGATGGCATTTTTGTTACAAGCTGCTAACTGGCATTTTCTTATAGCTTACACATTGGTGAACAAGACTATATATGTTGGCACCTCTGATCTTGGCTTTATATAGATGAAATTTTGATAATTTTGCCTAATATAAAAGTACTATGTTGACTAAGAATGCGAAGTTTCAAGTTTATTAGAAAGATTGCAGAAAAGTATATATATGACATTTAAGCGAGCAATGCAAATTTTCAAGCCGGTTTTGAGTTAAATCATGCTGTTAAGTTGGCAAAATAATAACTGCATGTCAGTATCAATTCACGCAGAGTGCGCAGTTTCGGCAGTTTCTGAGCGTTAAAAGGTCAAAATCGGCTGCGATAATAAATGTCGTACATATACTTTTGTTTGAAATTTCTATCGTATAGTAAAAGTGAACTTGTAATTTTGCATTTTTTGTCATCATAGTACTTTTCAAAAATTTCAAAATTCTCAATTTTTTATCTATATAAAAACTCAAATAGCATATTAACAGCGCGGGGCCGCTTGACCCCTCCCCTCCCTTCCTCCCCCCAACGACATTTTAAACACTGACCTCGGAAAGATTCAAAAATCCTTTTGTATTTCGTGAATTGAAAAGTTGCCCGTGCATACTTTGTATTATTGGCATTACCATTCAGCTTAGTCACTTAGATGGTAACGCCTTTGAATATTATCGGCATTACCATTCAACTTGCATGGTTATACCTTTGAATATTATCCGCATAACCATTCAACTTGGATGGTTATGCCCATCCCTAGTGCAAGGTACGGCTCAACATAAACTCACAGCTCATTATATTAAACCGCTTTGAAGTTTACTGTCACCATGTGTTAGTGAATAAACATTCATCCAGACAAACTTATAGAGAGAGATCAGTGATGAACAGATCATGTGACCCCCAACCACGTTGTTGTATTCTACTTCTGTAAAGCAAAGTATTAAAAGAGAAACTGTAATTCGTCTTATTGTTTATTTATATTCCACTGTCATGACTAATAACGTAACAGGTTATGGGCCCAGTAACAGCAGATTGATATTCGACGGTGATGAATGAAGATACGAATTATGGGAGGTCAAATTTCTTGGATATCTACGATTGAAAAAGTTGAGTGAAACCATTCTCACGCCATTGGTGGGCGATGCCAGTGAACAAGTTATAGCAGCTGATTCAGTCAAAAACATGGATGTATTCGCCGAGTTAATACAATTCTTAGATGATAGAAGTCTATCTCTGGTTATTCGAGATGCGGCAAACGACGGCCGGAAAGCTTTGGGAATTCTACGGGAGCACTATTTGTCAAAAGGAAAGCCACGTGTTATATGAATGTACACCGAGTTAACTTCGTTAAAAAAATCAGCTGACGAAGATATCACCGACTATATGCTGAGAGCAGAGACATCAGCTACTTCACTTAAATCGGCAGGAGAACAGGTCAGCGATAGCTTACTGATTGCTATGATTATAAAGGGAGTCTTCTACAAAATACAAGCCTTTTTCAACAGTAGTGACACAAAAGGACAAAGAACTACCTTTCAGTGAATTCAAAGTTTCACTGCGAAGCTTTGAAGAGACACAAAATCTATCCACTGAGTGTGCCAAAGAGGACAGCGTCATGAAAGTTAATACTGGGAAACCATCATATAAATCGAAGAAAGATCTAATTTTCTATGGATGCGGAAAGGCAGGACATAAAAAATCGGAATGTCGTGTAAAGAAGCGCTGGTGTGACACGTGCAAGAATCATACTCACGATACTGAGAAATGTCGCAAGAAGAACCAAGGAGATGATGCAACAAAAGCAGTAAGAGACACTAGTATAAATAATAATAGTGTGCATGAAGAAAATCATTCATTTGTATTTCAAGTAGGAGTAGATGTAACTAATATAGATAATGTAAATGGGTTGCTTGTGGACTGTGGGGCCCACCACCCATATTGTGCATGATATTAGTAAGTTTATAAATTTTGATAAACAGTTTAATCCTGAGCATCATTATATTGAGCTGGCGGATGGTAGTAGGTCTAATAATGTTGCGTTGAAAAGGGGAGATGCAAATGTTGAGTTGTGTGATGTAGATGGTAATGTGCAAAAGGCTCTTGTCAGAAATGCCCTGTATGTTCCCTCTTACAAACAGGACATATTCTTTGTTCGGGCTGCAACTAGCAGAGGTTCCACGGTAAGTTTTTTACCCAATAATGCCAAACTTATAAGTCCAAATGGCACAGAATTTAAGATAGAGCAGAACGGTAAGTTGTACTATTTAAACAGTGTGGTTTCATCTAGTATGTCTAGGCAACCAGGTATGTCTAAGTCGTTGAAAGATTGGCACGAGATACTAGGCCACTGCAATTTAAATGATGTGTTAGCCTTAGAAAGTGTTGTAGACGGGATCAAAATAACAGGTAAGAAAGAATTTGACTGTGGGGTATGTTTTATGGGGAAAATGACCCAACCCAGAAATAGAAAACCCGATAGACGTGCAACAAAGATACTAGAATTAGTACATTGTGACCTAGCGGGACCAGTTGACCCCATTGCTAAAGAAGGTTTTAGATATGCCCTTGCCTTTGTTGATGATTATTCAGGTATAGTCATGATTTACTTTATACGGCACAAGAGTGATACCCTGAAGGCTACTGAAACATTCTTAGCTGACTCAAGTCCATACGGTAAGATTAAATGTATAAGAAGTGACAACGGAACCGAGTTTACCTCGGAAGCCTTTGAAAATCTTTTGATCAAACACTGCATAAAAAATGAAAAGTCGGCCTCTTATTCGCCACATCTAAACGGCACAGTTGAAAGCGTCTGGAGATCTATTTTTGATATGGCTAGATGCCTACTTATTGAGGCCAAATTACCTAAAACACTCTGGACGTTTGCAGTTATGGCTGCAGTGTACATAAGAAATCGTTGTTACAACCATAGACTTAAGAAAACACCTTATGAAGTATTTACCAGTCAAAAACCCAATTTGCAAAATATGCATGTTTTTGGCACAGTGTGCTACACGTATTTGCAGGAGAAGAAGAAATTGGACCCAAGAGGGGAAGAAGGAATTTTCGTAGGGTATGATAAGGGAAGCCCAGCCTACCTTATATATTTTCCAGAAACAGGATCAATTAAGAGAATCGGTTGTGTTCGTTTCACTGATAAATTTGGAAATGACAAGAATACAGAAGAAAGCCCTCAATTAAATATTGAGGATGAAATGATTGTTAGCTTACCACCGTGTCCATCAGATCCCCAACCGACAAATGAAAACAAGAATCATTTAGTTCCCCCAAATCCAGTAAGTGACTTAAATAATGATATTGGTGATCTCAACCCAACTGCCATTAATGATGAGGGTGGGAATGTCTAATTACCAGAAACTAGGTACCCTAGTCGTATCCGGGCAAAGCCAAAGTATTTGGAGCAATATGTTGATGGTGACGAAGTCGATGAAAACAACCACATCAATTTCACAGTTGATTACTGCTGTAATATAACAGATGTACCGAAAACGTACCAGGAGGCGATATCCTCGCCTCATTTTCATGAACGGCAAAAGGCCATGGAGGACGAAATGTATGCATTAAGGGAAAATGACACATTTGAACTTACCACAAAGCCTGAAAATAGAAATACAGTGGGGGGAAGATGGGTTTATGCCATTAAAACTGGCCCTAATGTGGAAGAGAAGTACAAAGCCCGCTTTGTAGCCAAGGGATATTCGCAAATACCAGGTGTTGATTATCATGAAACCTTCTCACCCACTGCAAGAATGACATCTATTAGAATCCTAATGCAATTAGCGGTGCAATACAATCTGACAATACATCAAATGGATGTGAAAACAGCATATCTGAACGCACCTATTGACTGTGAGTTACATGTTGAACAACATGAAGGTTTTACTATGACAGGAAAAGATGGTGAGTATCTTGTTTACAAACTTAGAAAATCCTTATACGGACTGAAGTAAAGTGGTCGTAATTGGAATAGTGTGCTACATTCCCATTTAGTTAGTGAGGGGTTTATTCAGTCGCAATCAGATAGTTGTGTTTACACCAAAATTTCAGGTAAGTCGATGACCATTGTGATAATTTGGGTTCATGATATAATAATTGCATCAAATTGCACAGTTACGCTAACGAATGTGAAAAGTAATCTAGGTAAGAGATTTCAAATGAAAGATATGGGAAAATTATCATGGTTTTTAGGCATAGAATTTATATGTGAAGAGGGAGTAATTAAGATGAACCAAACAAAATACATTGAAAGACTATTGTCGAAATTCAGTATGGAAAATTGCAAACCCAGATCCACTCCATGTGAGATTAACTCACATAAGGTAAGTGAGTTAAATTCAGTGCCAACTGATAACAGATTGTACAGAGAGATCATAGGCAGTCTTGTTTACATAATGACTGCAACTAGGCCAGATCTTTGTTATAGTGTAATGAAACTTTCACAATATTTGTCAGCATCAACCATGAGTCACATAAACACTGCAAAGCATGTATTGAGATAGGGCACGGCTAACAGAAGTGCACGGCTAACAGAAGTCTAATCTTCAGGAAAGCTGATGAGCCACTGCACTTAGTTGGTTGTTGTGATGCTGATTGGGGTGCGTCAGAAGATAGACGCAGTATAACCGGGTACGGTTTCCACCTTTGTAGCAAAGGTCCTTTGATTTCCTGGAAGAGTAGAAAGCAACCTGCAGTTGCTTTATCCACATGTGAAGCTGAATATATGTCTTTAGCTTCAGCTGCTCAGGAAGGTAAGTTTCTTTCTCAGCTGTTGGAGGATATGGTTAAAATTAAGTTTACTCCAGTGACACTTCATTGTGACAATCAGGGAGCTTTAGCCTTGGCAAAAAACCATGTTCAGCAGCAAAGATCAAAACATATTGATATACGTTATCACTTCGTAAGATCGGAAGTTCAGAGAGGTCTCCTTCATTTATTGTATGTAACATCAAAAGATAACTTAGCTGATATATTTACCAAACCAATATCAGGACCGAGAATAAAAACTTTTGTTCCTATTATACTAGGAGTATAAACTCGATTTAGTGTAATGTTGTTGATATTTATACTATATATAAAACTAACTGTTCTATGTTTAAGTGGGAGTGTTAGTGAATAAATATTCATCCAGACAAACTTATATAGAGAGATCAGTGATGAACAGGTCATGTGACCCCCAACCACGTTGTTGTATTCTACTTCTGTAAAGCAAAGTATTAAAAGAGAAACTGT